TATCTAAAAGTTTCTCGTTTCTAATATGTCTAACACTGTCTTATATCCGTGATTCAAATCAAAAATCCTCTAATTAGGGCAAAAATTGAACAACCCAATAAAAACCACCAAATGGAAAATTTTGCTGATGATTAATTGTCCAAGAAGCACATAAAATTCAGATTAAATATATCCCACGGATAAATTTTTCATTCCACGGATAAATTCAAAGCTGGGTTTTAGTGGATAATTGAATCAATTCTGAAGTCCAACTCTTCAGACTTTTTCAGCAAAGCTAACTCCCAAGTCTTGATCAGTTAATGGGATTCAGCTTATGATGATTATCAGAAAAAGTCAAAACTAAACCTATTTTTTTCTCAAAATTTCACTCCCTTGTACTAAAAACTTTTCCCTTGTACTAAAAACTTTTACCTCTTGTGTTGAGGTGCGGAACAAACCATTACCAATATCCTTTAAAAGTTACCTAAAAAAATCAACGTTATTTCACCGCTTCACCTGTCTCAAAAATTTCACTTTCTAATCACTTTGTTGTGTTTTTGCCTAATTACGCTACAAACCTCTAAATTAACAAACAATCATGTATTTCCTACAAAACTTTCATCAGATTTTTATACGTTTTTATCTGATGACCTGGCAAAAAATTTTTTGATGCGAATTAGGAAAAAAGTAACGGATTTTTTTGTGTTTGTGTTTGTTTTTTTCTCCAGACAAACTCAAATTTTTAACGAGCTATTTTGGACGGTTTAGATATAATGTGAGAGCTATTGATGTCTTGAGCCAAAAAAAAACAAATAAAACTGCTCGTATCAGTGCAAAATCCTGAACGTTCTGACTGCTTTTTAAGGTCTATGAAGCAGTAAAAACATCTAATAAAATAAAATGAATATATATATATATATATATATTTTAAGTATGAGATTTTTTGTGAAAATCATCCCCCACCATATTAAAAATGCATGACAATTTAATTGAATTGACCTCTATTATTTCGAACGCGATATTGTGCACAAAAAGATTGATTCGCTCCTAGTAATCAACAAGACTAATCTCATATCAGGGCAAAGACGTGAATTTTCTGACTGTCCCTTAATTCATAACGAATAGTTTTTGGGAAATAAAAAATTGAAAAACCTGTAAATTTTGGACAATATCTAAGTGTGAAATGTTGAGTCGTATAAAAAAATTACGACCGATCCAATTAGCTAACCTCAATTCAATTTGGAACGGTTTTGTTGTGCGGGATAATTCGCCACGCATAAATAATTCGCGTTACTCTCTCAGCAATATGAATAAATTCTTCAGAGCGCAAAAAATTTAGTCCAGAACATGGCCAATTTGGAAGTTTTCAAACCCCAAGATCTTTACAAAAATTAATCAAGGTCATGATATCTTTTTGATTTTAAAATGTTATTATATTCAATGTGGTATTAAGTTTTTTTGTTGAAAACTCTTATTTCGATCGGCGAAAGTTGACTGAATAAAAAAACCACACCGAGCTTAAATACTTCGTTTTCTTCAAAATTCGGAACAACAAGGCTGCTCGTCTCGTATATCAAGGTAAAGCCCTGAATACTTCAATTGCACTTAAAGCTAATAGAAAATCTTTTTTTTGATAAATAAGTGACAAAATAATTTAAAAAAAAAACGTTTTTTTTCCACTTTTTTTTCATTTTATCTCCCCACGCCAATAAAAATACTGAGAGTGTGTTTAGCGTCTCGTTTTCTGATGATAATAATAAAAAATTGACCTCAATTCAGTTTGGAACGCATTGATTTGCTTCTTACGCGTGTTATAAGTATGCAATTTATATCATTTTAATTATCTCAGTTTGGCAAATTAGCAATTTTCAAGCCCCCGTAATTTTACAAAAAATGATCATAGGTTAAATAATTTTTTAAATTTGAGCTTAGGATCACAAAATCTTTCAGATGCTATAAAAAAGATCTGTCTAAAACGCTGAAAAAACAAGTCAAATATTGACTGTATAAGGAAACCACATCAAGCATAGATATTCCGCACTTTCGTTGAAATTTGGAGCAACAATTATGGCAAATAAGCTTCTTTCAACCAATTTGGAACTGTTACTAAGACGGATTAAATCTCCGCTTACGCGTTAATAGTGCGAATTACATTGCGCGTTAACCGTCCCAATTGGCCAAATTGGCTATATTTAAACCCCCATATCTTTTCAAATTTAAGCTCAAGACAACAATACCTTTTGAATGATGTAAAACAATTCCGTGAAAACGGCTAGTTTAAAAGTCGAAATTTGTCTGAAGAAAAAACCCCAACCTGAGCACAAATATTCTGTTACATTCGTTGCGAAAATTGGAACGATGGTTCAAAGACTGTGTAAAGTTGTAGCAGCAATGTCAGAAGTTTTCGCCCTAAAATTATTTGACTTTAACAAATTTTAATTGAGGGTTTAGCCCTAGTTTTTTCTTTTTCTCTTCTTTTTGTTAGAAATTTTATTTATGTTACTGTTTTACGCACGTTTCAACATAAAACAGTATCCAGTGAACCCAAAAATTTTGCCGTATAGTTACTTTGAGTTTCAATTCTCTGTTTTTTGATGATTTATTTGATTGAAGTTCAATTTTCAAAACCAGTCATAAATAAAACAATTAAAGGCTCTTTTCCAGTCCCCCCCTTCAAATTCACTTTCGAAAAATCTATTTATCATTGTCATAACGCAATGAAATTTGGCGTGGTGAACAAATCGACAATTCTGAACAGATTTGTTCTTCATACTTTACAGCGTAACATCACGCGTTTAGCTGTAATAACACGTAAAACGAACAAAAAAATCGGTATTCTGAAAGGGGGGAACTGGAAAAGAGCCCAAATAAAACGCATACCCTCGATAATTTTAACAAAACGAGAGTTCGAGAAAAATATAGAAACTGAAGTAGACTATTAGTTATGCAATTTAAATTATAAAAAGTTATAAATTCATAATCAAACCAATGTTTGTTCGTGTAAAATCGAAAATTAACAAAAGTTCAAAATCCCAATGATAAAAATCGAAAATATGTTTAATTGGTTTTGACAAAATGGTGCTTGCGGCCAAATTTTCTATTAGAAAGGATGTTCAAAATCAGCCAAAAGATAGTTTTTTTAGAAAGAAGTTCTATATTTTTCCCAATTTCAAAAAAAGAATAGCCTTAAAGTTTGCAACAGTTCATATCTCTTGACCTTATTTTTTTTGGTTCTGTGTGTTTTGAAAACAAAACTGCAATTATCAAACAGAAAAAAAATTTGTCGGATGCCACCAGACTCTAACGTATTACGTTTTATTGGAACAACAATTATGGCAAATAAGCTTTCTTCTACCAATTTGGAACTTTTACTAAGACGGTTTAAATCTCCGCTTATGCAATAATTGTGATAATTATATTGCGCGTTAAATGTCCCAAATTGGCCGGAATGGTAATCTTTAAACCATCAAAAGTTAAAAATTAAAAATGATCACAGGTAAAATATTTTTTCAAAATTTAAGCTCAGGAATACAATATCTTTTGAATGATATAAGAAATGCATCAAAAATGGCTAGTTAAAAAATCAAATTTTGTCTGAAACAAAACCCAGAGCACAAATATTCCGTTACTTTTGTAACAAAATTCGGAAAAAAAGTACTTCAAATGCGACCATTTTTATGCAAAATTACGACGTTTTGAAAAACTCAAATATGGCCAATTTTACGCAAATATTGCGCTTTATATTGCGTAATTTTAAATCATAAGAGGTAAAATGTATCGCTTCAAATTGAAGTGAGGGTAGCAATTAGCTCTAATTGTTGCAATCCCCGAAGCAAAACATATCGCTATTTGCATTGCATAAGGAGTGGGGATAGATGAAGAAAATGAAAATATTTTTTTTCTTTTTTTTTCATTGTTAGTTTTTGTTGGAATCAAAAAAAGTTCATCAATATTACAAGGCAGTCGGAACAATCAAGCCTTCAATTTAATACGTGCAGTTTTTTCTTGCATCTGAGCTTTTTGAAACGATAATTTTGCGCTCGAAATAAACGTTGATTATGATTTCAATACGAATCTTAGAATTGATTCAAGCTTATCACAACAATTAATCGTGGCAAAAATTTTAAAATACTAAGTTAAAACTAAAAATTCTACAAATAAATTCCATTTTGTTAGCTCTATAAAAGTCAATAAATCATACAATTAAAAACATTTAATAACCTCCAATATGTCTGCAAAGCTCAATCTGAAAAATATTTTTGAGGATGAGTGTTCTAAGCATCAAGTTCAACTAATGGGTGTTTTATGCCGCAAGCTATTGAACTCAGCAGTAGCCCTTATTACAAAGGGGACCTCTACTGAGAATGCTACTCATAGTATCATGATTAGATCGCATGCAGGTACGATTTTACAAATTTTGCAAGAGGTGGATTGTCAAAAAAATGGTGGAACTTCGGTTTTCCTTCCAACGTCAACTCAAGTAACTTACAAAAGTTTTCTGTCTCTGATCAAAAAGCCCCACGATTTCCCAAATGTTTGTTCTGAAAGTTTTTTGCAAATTCTGCCTTGTGCATTTTTGAATATTTGTGTTCAAAAAAATTGGTTTTATTACGGCTCTGCCGTCAATTAGATCTGGATTTTTAGCAGGTAAATAGACGGTGTTTTCCTGTTTCTTTAAAAATAAAATTGATCTAAGGGAGTGTTGAATGTTGAAACGCTCTTTTTTGGCGCTCCACATAAAACAATTTCTTAAGAGGGGTGATTTCTAAGAAATCCGCTCCTTCTCGTAACTAAAATACAATTACTAACTTAGGCTCTTTTCCAGTCCCCCTTTCAAAATACCGAGTTTTATGTTTGATTTACGTGTTATTACGGCTAAATGCGTGATGTTACGCTGTAAAATATGAAGAATAAATCTGTTCACAGTTGTCGATTCGTTCACCACGCCAAATTTCATTGCATTATGACAAGGTTAAATAAGCTTTTCAAAATTAAATTTGAAAGGGGGGGGGGGGGGGGACTGGAAAAGAGCCCTAACTTATTATGGCTAAACTACTAATGGGTGATTAATATTGTCATGTTTTTGTGAATATCGAAACCGTCTTCAATATTTTCTCTGGGTCGTTTCTGGATGCGCATTTTAATTTGCCGTGGCTAAAGACTCTCTGAGCTCCGAGAATCTCAGAACGCCTCTTCCTTTGAACTTTCGGTACAGGAGGAACGACAACACCAAAATTACGCTGACTAGAACCACCAAACACATAACAAAGAAAATCGCCGCATAATTTGGAAGCGCTTTGCTGACTGATTGACTGGCTCGAATCACGTCAGGTGGGCTATTTGGAACTGCGTAGCCGATCCAAGGAACCCCGGGACCCGTGGTCACGTTTGTTCCGTCCAGGTTAAAAGTAACGTGAACTGAAAATGTTCCCGTTGAAACATCTTCCATGCGGTATAGGTTCATTCGGCTTAGTCGTTCACCGGCACTGTTGAAAATGACCCGAGGGTCCGCTGCGAAGTTTTCGCTGTAAAAAGTTTTGTCATTCACGAATGCATACAAAGTGTTTCCACGTATTTCTTCGTTATCTCGATACTCGGATAAAGTTTGGTTGATTGACTGCAAATAGAGTGGCCAATTAAGAACAATTCAATTCAAAGTAATAACAGGATAGCCGGTTGCTATGCAAGAAGCACAGAAAATTCCTATTTTTTATACAAAGACTACATAAATTATTTTCTTTCAATTTAGGTTCGCTTTTTGTGTGGTGCAATAAAAAGATATGAATTAAAGCCTAGAACTTAGGCATGCTCAACAGTCATAAAAAACTGTCAAATTGGCAGCAGTTTGTGTCGAAAAACGACTGAAAATGAAAAAAAAAGTATATATAATTTTTTTTGTGAAGTTTTTGAAAACGGCCAAATTTTACAAGGTGCAACCCAATTTTAATACCGCCAATTAAAGGTGAATTATATTTTGAATTTTGAGCTCAGGGCATCAATACTTTTGTGGTGTTTTAAACAACTCCGTTGAAAAATAAATATTCAAAACTTCGAAACTTGTCTGAAGAAAAAACCACAAGGAGCACAAACATTCCATCTTTTCTTCAATATTCGGACCCACAGGGCTATTTCAGTTTAGTTAGGCCACCCTACTTTCAACAGGAGCTCTGTTCCGTCGTATGTTGCCGCGACATACTGTAAATATGAAGCCGAATCGGGTATTGAACAACTGTTGAAAACACTTTGATTGCATTCCGCTTTAAAGTCGCTTCTAATCTTTTCATATTTTTTGAGCTGCCCTTCGAATAAATTCTCGTGTTTGAAAATCAAAACGTGTCTGAACACTTTTTTCAAGCAGAAATTTTGCACGTGCGCGACATGTAATTCAGGATCTCGCCATAGTTGATTCTCAATATTGGTTTCTGTTATGTAGCCAGGTTGCATATAAACTATTGCGTATTCGGCTATGTTGAACTCGTCATTTCTAACGCAAAAAACTTGGTACAAGAATTGTCTCATAATATTTGGACTCAAGCCTAGAACCAGTACCCTGGTCCAAGACGCGAACATTAATTGATGTTTGGTTAATTCGTTTAGTTTCTCTGTACCATCGAACAATACTTCAGGTTCAAGACCAAGCATAAACGACTCGATCCCGACGCCAGCGTTTTGCCTGGTCCATTCTAGATAAAACGATCTAGCGGGTAGCGAATCGACGTCATCGAGTTGCTTTTGGGGTAGGTAGTATTTACTAATCAAGGCCAGGTCCTTTCCCCACCCAAAATGAGCAAATGTTGTGGTAACTGCGTTGTAAAAATCGGGGTAGTTATCCACTTCTGAGTCGGTATTATATGTATAAGGTGACATTAAACGTACTGTAGTGTTTGAAAATTCTCCATTTGCTTTGCTATGGCAACCAACCGTCATCGAATTGAGGCTGTAAATATCAGATAATCTTGTGATCCAAGGCAGAACTGTTGTACACATTGGCCCAAAAAAAGCTTGAACTCTGAATTCCGTATACATCAACGTCGAAGCGACTGATGAAGCCTTGTTAGCGCATTTACTGTCAGCATAACTGACGTTAAAGTAGAAGCCAGGTAAAAAATATTTGCCAAGTTTTTCGAGGCTGTATTTGACCGCGACTACTGTTGAGTTTAGAGACATTGGCGAAACAGTGTAGTCGTTATCATCTGGCGCCAAAACTCCAATTCTGTATTCGACTTTGTCATCGGATTTTTCGCCCACCAAAATGGACCCAATTTTTGGTATGTTGGCGACAGAATCAACGAATGGTCCCATGCAAATGATATAGAAGATAAATGTCATCAGCAGAGAATTAGTTTTCATTTTCAACGTTGTTTCGAAATGTTCTCAAGATATTTTTTCTTCAGCAGGGTAATAATCGAAACTGATCAAAGGTTATACCTATTCAAACAGCTGCAACTGGCTAAAAAATTAAAACATTTTGGTTTGTATTAAAGTAGTGAAAACACTATTTTAAATATTTGTGAAATTTTTTGCTGATAAACGAAACAATCAATTAATCAAACTTTAAATGGTTGCTAATAATATACCAAACTAATCAAACCGGATGCTGTTTGTTTTAGATAAGGTGTGGGACTCGAATTCATCCCATTTATTCATTATGTTATATTACAATATCTCAATGCGATATATAGTATTCGTTTATCATATTTCAGACAGCTACCAGCATGTACCCTAAAACTTACAGAATTATAAAGTATTAGTATCAACTGATTAAATATGCCCTGATTTATCGTTACTAGAAGAAATGTTAAATAGAAGGCCTTACATGCGGAGGTCTCTATTAGTTACCTAGTTACCTATTAGTTGGATACCTCTGCTAGGAGTATCGTAGTTTATCAAACGTATTTATGTTAAAAAAATAAAAGTATGATTGTGTAAAACAATAAAATGGTTAAACCATTTTAGCAAAGTTAGCTGAGTACTGCTGCACAGAAAGCTTGAACAAAGTTATTTTTGCTGAAGCAATTATAAACACGATCTCTTAACTGTTTTGAAAAAATCCAGATTTGTTTCTGAACGTCCTTTTTTTTGGGGGGGGGGGGGAAAGGGGGGTTTATAATTTTAAGCAAATGAATTACCGATTTCTTTTTAAATCTTTTTTCTGCGTAATCAGTTTTTATAAACATGGACCAGGGACAACTACATGGCAAATAACTATCAAGTAAAAAGCTAAAACTAGAAAATAGATACAGCACCAGTAAGAAATTCTATAATTTGAATCAATAAACTGAGGCAAACTAAGCAAATTACGTAAATCTGACTTGTAGCCCACTAAGAAGACTATGGCCATTTTGCTTGAAATTGAGATTAGCCAAATCATAAATTTCCGATATAAACTGTCTAAAACTGTGGTTTAGAACATGAACTTTAGTGCTTGTTATGTTCAAATTTCTTAAAGTCGGTATCGTCACAATTCGTCGTAAGTGACCATTCGCGGCAATTGTAAAAAGCGGCTATTTGAAAATTATTATCACCAATTTGTTCTCCGACAGACTTTGTGCTTTTCTGAGGAATTGGATAATTTGTGAATGGTAGGGTGAGCACATCTCATCTCCATCTGAAAAACCCTGTGCTATCCCTCGGCCGAACTGTTGGTCTTCTGTTTGTCAGTTTTGATGTTTTTCGAACTGATTGCAGAGTGAAATCGGGAAATGCCCAATCCCATTGCGTCCTCAGAGAATGGTTCGACCCAAAGCCGATTTGAAATAAACGAGGTAGTCCAAAAAGGGGCACTCGTCACATTTGTCAGAGACTTCACAGAACAAAGCAGCATTGCAGACTTTAAAGTTGAGCTCAGGTATTAGTGACAGAGCAGCGAATGACTTCAGAAGCATATATGTTTTTTTTTCATCTTGCTTGAATTTTGCGCTAATTAGCCTGAGCAAAATGATGAAGCATTTTTTTAGTAACTCCATTGAATATTTTCTATTACGCGTTCATTGAAGCAAATGGAGCTAATCCGATCTCCTGAATTTTGCGCTAGTTGGCTTGAGCAAATTGATGAATTATCTTTTTGTAGTAATTCCTTTGAATACCTTCTAAAACGTGTAAACTCTACACAATCTGTGAAGGCTCATGTACTGGAATGATTTCTTTTAAAAGCTCTGAAGGCCTTGATGTAATGCTCACCATTTGCTTTGAAGAAGAAAACAAAAATAATGGGACAGTTTGATTGTTCATCACATCAATAAAGATGAAATTTTGAGTTAACAACGCGGGATATGCTGTAAACGTCCCATTTTATGTCAGACTTTGTTGCTTTCTCAGTTCTCTTCGTAGGCAAATAGTAACATTCGGTCTTCGTCATCCGATCCCAAATCAAAAAGAAGGAAATTACCCCCCCTCTCTCTCAAGGTTTAAGTTTTTTTTATCCCGCCTCAAGACTACGCTACAGACTCAGTTTGCCTTGTAAGTGGGCGGAATCTTTTTGCTCAATGCCGTCGAACAGTTCTGGCGAGTGACTTGTACTTAGGCAAGTTAAAAATTGAACAGAAAGATTTAAGAAAACTGTGAACGTTTAATTATTCTTATCACGTTTGCTAACTCGTTTAAACTTGGCATTTAAATCAAAACTGTTGCTAAATTAAAGATTTTGATCGCTTGCTGAATTTTAATTTCTCTCAACTACCGCAAAATGTTTCTTTTTGTTCCCAGCATGCATTAATACCCACTTAGAAATCAATCGCGCTGTAATTGTCGCTTGCCTCGAGTTGTCGCTTGATGCGAATTGTCGCCGTTCAAAATTGCTGCGAATCCTCGCTTGCGATCAGTGATCGCTTGCGACATATTGTCGCCTCCTGACTTGAGTAAATTTGACATCAAATTGAGGCGGCGAAGTTTTTTTCATGCTCTTCCTGGGACTATCAATATGCGAAATGGACTTCTTCGGTTTTTTAATTGAGCTCGCACTTCTCAAATTTTGTGTTATATTTTAAAAAATGTTTTAAGATTTAAACCAATAGCACTGTTGATGGGTAATTAAAATCATGTGTGTGCGACCTGATTTGTATGTCGACACTCTTGCTACACTCTTGTTATGCAAAATTTCCTGAATGCGACACTCTTGTTAAAATTTTGTCGGTTTTATTAAGTTTTTTGCTAAATCAAAACTGTTGCTAAATTAAAGATTTTGATCGCTTGCTGGATTTTATTTTCTCTCAACTACCGCAAAATGTTTCTTTTTGTTCCCAGCATGCATAAATACCCACTTAGAAATCAATCGCGCTGTAATTGTCGCTTGCCTCGAGTTGTCGCTTGATGCGAATTGTCGCCGTTCAAAATTGCTGCGAATCCTCGCTTGCGATCAGTGATCGCTTGGGACATATTGTCGCCTCCTGACTTGAGTAAATTTGACATCAAATTGAGACGGCGAAGTTTTTTTCATGCTCTACCTGGGACTATCAATATGCGAAATGGACTTCTTCGGTTTTTTAATTGAGCTCTCAGTTCTCAAATTTTGTGTTATATTTTGAAAAATGTTTTCAGATTTAAATCAATAGCACTGTTGATGGGTAATTAAAATTATGTGTGTGCGACCTGATTTGTATGTCGACACTCTTGCTACACTCTTGTTATGCAAAATTTCCTGAATGCGACACTCTTGTTAAGATTTTGTCGGTTTTATTAAGTTTTTTGCTAAATCAAAACTGTTGCTAAATTAAAGATTTTGATCGCTTGCTGGATTTTATTTTCTCTCAACTACCGCAAAATGTTTCTTTTTGTTCCCAGCATGCATAAATACCCACTTAGAAATCAATCGCGCTGTAATTGTCGCTTGCCTCGAGTTGTCGCTTGATGCGAATTGTCGCCGTTCAAAATTGCTGCGAATCCTCGCTTGCGATCAGTGATCGCTTGGGACATATTGTCGCCTCCTGACTTGAGTAAATTTGACATCAAATTGAGACGGCGAAGTTTTTTTCATGCTCTACCTGGGACTATCAATATGCGAAATGGACTTCTTCGGTTTTTTAATTGAGCTCTCAGTTCTCAAATTTTGTGTTATATTTTGAAAAATGTTTTCAGATTTAAATCAATAGCACTGTTGATGGGTAATTAAAATTATGTGTGTGCGACCTGATTTGTATGTCGACACTCTTGCTACACTCTTGTTATGCAAAATTTCCTGAATGCGACACTCTTGTTAAGATTTTGTCGGTTTGTTTAAGTTTTTAAGCTGTTTGAGCCATAAATTTTTGTTCAAAAGATTACAACACACTAAATCTACCTTTTGAAAATTTGTAAAAGTTTCTTTGGTATGCTTGCGAGTTCGAATTAAAGCGGCTGAAAAGTTTCAGAAAAACAATGTCGAGAGTTCCACAATTCTCGACAGTGTATTTCTGAAAAAATTAAGCCGCTTTAATTCGAAATGCTCATTACATATTCTAACTCTTATTTGTCGTCTTAATGTCTTGTCGTCTTAACGGCTTGTCGTCTTATACACCTAGCCCCGGTTATGCCTCCTCAACGTTGTAAATTTGTTGGGCTCTACATTGCTTACAAAAAAGATGAAACGCAGCTGGCCAGAAGAAGCGTTCAACAAACACCAAAAATTTTGCAAACATAAGTTTTTAAATTAAACACCAGACTCCAATGCGCAATATCAGCATTGAAAAAATTATATATTATCTAAGCAAAAAGTACTCTTTTTTGTTGGGCCAGTTTTAAAATAACTTGGTTTTTAAAGCCCATGATGCGTTTAAAGCAGTTTTTTTTCTCGGACAACATCAAGTGTAGAGTCCAATTAAAACATTCCGTTTCATGCTTGTTTAAAGTCTTTAATAAAAGAAGCGGATGTGATGTAGTACACAAATTTGCTTCAAAATAAAGCCTCTTAGTTTTTTGAAAAATTATGAGAGTATGCAGCAAGCTGCCTGATAAATGTTCTCTGTTAATATTGTCATATTGTGCCACTTAAAACTTGTACGAAGGTGAAGTTGCTGGACTTGGACTTGATTATTTTTTTCGATATAATTAAAAAAACATCGCCCTGATAAAAACTAAAAGCAAAAAAGCAGAGCATGTTTTTTAATGCAGTTTACCTACTTAAACTTGCACTTTAAATAACTTGTGCATAAAAACCTTCAAAAAAATAAACTGCGAGCATAAATATATATTTTTTACTTAATTAAAATTTATGTAAGAAGAAAAATCTACCTGAGCTGAAGAATTAAGAAGTTATGTGTGGAGAGGTTAACTGCACCAGACAACAGAGGGTAAATAACTGACGAGGAATTTAATAACAGGGTTAATAATTGATTCGGTCTATCTCCCATAGACCGTTTCTCCCAGATTCTGAAATCATTGTCTCAGTCGCATTCGCTTTCAGTTCTTCGGGGCTAAAAGGATTCGCTTCATTGATTTTCTTTACAACGTATTTAGTTGACTGCATCGAGTATAATCAAATGGTGAAGTTGGGTAGTGTCTGCAGAACTTTAATGGACGATAGCCGGTCTATAAAAAGCCCACCGTTTTTGTCTTTGTCCAGTAA